GGCCAGTTGTCTGCAGCTTTATTTTCTTTCTAACTTTGTGGGCGTGGCCTAGGCCCTCGACCATAAAGTGGCATGTGGTCTCAGAGATGGACAGAAGGACCAAGTCTCTTCTCTTGGTTAGAGAGAGCAGCATTTGCTCACCTGATTTTCACTCAGCAGGAAAACTGCTTCTCACTATTAACCCAGGAAATGCTGAATTTGAAACAGTTAAACCTCCAAATAAAAATAATCTCTCAAATGTTTTCTCAGAAAATCTATGCTGAGGTAATAGTCACTGGAAAAGTTTGTAAACAAGTGAATTGTGTTTTCAGATATTTTATTTAAACTTGATCTGTAACTGGGTGCTGTCCTGGATAATAGTCATGAGGGAAGCCAGAGTCTGCTCTGTAGTGACCTCTTGTGGTTTTTCTCTGGATTTGCTTATAAGTATCATGAAGGCTTAGAAAACCTCAATAGAAATAAGTTCCCAATGATTTGGAGATGAAAGGCTGTGTTACCAGTAGACTGTTACTAATCTGTCTTATTTTTTGCTTTGTATGCATTGAATGTTAATTGGTGCCTCTAAGCGAAGGGGCGGCATTATTGAAAAAGATAAGTGCACTTTCCACTGATAAAATTTAAGTCCTAAGGACTGATTTTAGAAAGCCCTCGGTATTAGATATGTCCACAATACTCCTTTTGAGGTTCAGGCATCATATTGTGATGCTTATGTTTACAGTGAGTCAGGAAAGCAGGAGGTGAGGGCTTGTTTTTCTAACCTTGAAACCTATTTATATTGCCTTGATAAGTTACTTGCTGTTTGGTTTCTTGGTTTTTGTGTAGAGTATCCATTCAATAGTTTTTCTACTTACTCGAGATACTTTGAATTAAAACAAAATATCCCATAACTTTTATAAAATAATCTCATTCCATTGGATCCTCCGATACACTAATTTGGTCTAAGGATTTGCTTCTAGTTGAAAAAAAATGTGTATTTTTATAAAGTAAAAGTAAAGGCCCTCCCATTGATCATCGATTTGCTCGAGCGGGTCCAGTAACGTCTCCATTGGAGACTTTGTTGTTACTGTGTCTGGCATATCGAATACGTCACGGGGAGCTTGCCAGGCTAGAGCGATAGCACAGTGGTAGGGCGTTTGCCTTGCATGCAGCCAACATGGCCGACCCAAGTTCGATTCCTCCACCCCTCTCGGAGAGCCCGGCAAGCTACCGAGAGTACCTCGCCCGCACGGCAGAGCCTGGCAAGCTCCCCGTGACATATTCGATATGCCAAACACAGTAACAACAAAGTCTCCAATGGAGACGTTACTGGGCCCGCTCGAGCAAATAAAGTATAATGGCTCAAATTTACATCTTTTGCAATTTCCCCCATTATTGCTGCTTTACACTGTGGTGTCTTTGGTGACACTGTATCTCACCTAAGTTCTTGGTCGAATATTACTCTTTTTAAAAATAATTGGAATTGGATTATTTTATCGGAAAAAAATGCTCACTTTTGCAACCATAAAGTGTTCTCTCAGCTGTGCAAGCCTGCACACTTAAAAGGAACTGAATATGAGAATTTAATTTATCATTAAAAATTTACCACTGAATTTTATGTTATTTAGTAAAACAATCTTCAACATTTTTTAAAAAAAAAGTATTTCTTCGACACTCTTGAAGGGGTTCCAAGCTGCTCTCTTCCTCCTGCGCAACTCAAGTGTTAGGTCATTCGTCATGTTGACTTCTCGACCTAGGTACACATAACTGTTGCACTCAGAGATGTTCGTCCCCTTGAGAGTGAATGGAACATTAGGAATGAGACCATTTCTCATAAACATTGTCTTCGTGAGATTCAGCTGTAGTCTGACCTTTCCACACTCACGGTCAAAGCCATCCATCATTTGTGCCACTTGGCTGATGTTTGGTGTTATTAGAGCAATGTTATCAGCAAAGCGGAGGTGGTATAGTTGCTGACTGTCTATCTTCACTCCCGTTCCTTTCCATTCCAGTTGTCACATGACGTTCTCAAGGGTGGCACTGAAGAGTTTCGGTGAAATGATATCACCCTGCCAAACCCCTCTCTTAACGTCAATGATCACCTCCCTGTGGAATTGTGAGATCCTGGTAGCTATCTGTAATACAGCTCACAGAGGATCCTGATGTATTGACTTTGAACGCCCTGTTTGACTAGGACTTCAATGAACGCTTCAGTCTCAACAGAGTCAAAGGCCTTCTTTTAATCAATGAACGTTAGACAGAGCAGCATCTTGAACTCCTGAGAAACCTCAATGAGCTTTGTTATCCTGTGGATATGGTCGATTGTGCTAAATCTTTTTAGGGCAACCATCTTGCTCGCATGGTTATCCTTCATCTAGTGTTCTGTCAATTCTATTCAGGATGACTCGAGTGAACAGCTTGTAGACGACAGACAACAGGCAGATCGGGCGATAGTTGCCAATGTCATGGATGTCTCCCTTCTTGTACAGTAGTACTGTCCTGTTGGTTTTCCATTGGGATGGAACCTTGCATTCAGACAGGTAGTGTGTGAAGAGCCGAGCCAGTGTATTGATGAGTACTGATGGCAGGTTTTTCAGATGTTCCAGTCTGACCTTTTCTGGGCCAGGTGCTGTTCGCTTCTTTACCAATGAAATGGCGTGTCGGATTTCGGAAGGGAGAGCATTGGCAACAACATATCCATCCTGCAGAATTTGGTATGTGGGCAGGTGGACACGGCCACGTGATCCAGAAAACATCCTGGAGCATGGGGGTGGCTGGATAGTGGAGGTAGTGGAAGTCTGCCGGGCTTCTGGGAGCAGGCAGAGGATCTCTGTTCCCAGGTCCATTGAACCTGAAGTCCAATTCACAAGGCCAAGCTTTTTAATATTGGGAAATTTCAGGTAGTAATAAATGATTCTATATCACCAGTTTTCAGCAGTCAGCTACCTGCTCTGTGTATAAACAGCACTGTGTTTGCATAGGTAACCTGTATGGGCGATGACTGGATTTAATAGGTCGTTTGCATGTAAATCTCACTCTTCCTCTGAATTTGAATGCCCTCACCTAGTTATCTTGCATGAAGTTGACCCTGATTTGATTCCTGGTATGGTGTGAGTGTTGCTTGGATGTATACCTGACAGTGCCAGTAGTAAGCAATGGGAACTTCCCTGTGTGGACTGAACTCCCATCGTCCCCAAAAATATGTTAGAAATCTTTTGGGATCTATTCATATAGGTTCATATGCCTTTCACCCTTAGTATTTCAGTTTTCTTCTCTTCTGCTACTTATTCCTACTGTTTGTGTTTGTGTGGGGGGTTAACTTTTAAATTCTCTACTCTTAAATAATATCTGTGTGGAGTTTTTTTATGCTTTCTTTAATTCCTCCTCTAAGTGTTAGGATTTTCCCTTCCTCTTATTTTATTTCCTTAGGAAAGAATTTCATCAATAGAATTGTTGTTTGGAAGATTTCTCAGAGAGAAGCTCTGGAGTCTTTCAGTGATTTATTAAAGTCTCTATTCATGGGGGTGAATTCCTTTGTTATGGATGGTGCTGTATGAAGTCTAGCTATATGACAGTCCAAATTTGAATTAACCTGACCATCAATAGGGACTTCTGTCTTAAGTAGAATCTCTGCCTTTGACTGTATATTTGTGTGGAACTGAAATACAACTAGGAATATGTAGATAGAATTGCTCTGTACAAACTACAGCATTAAGGTCTAGCAGTCCTTGGTTCTGATCTAAATTCCAGTTGATAGTATTAGGCAGTAGATATGTGTCAAGGTCCAGCCTTACTGAACAACAGCTTAGAATCATTTTGATGTTTTTCCAATAGCTACAGTTCAACCAGCTTATGGTAGGGAGCAGGATGTGATAGTGTTTTTGCAAACTCCAGACACCCCAAAGCAATGATCCTATACTTTGAGCATGAAATTGGGAAACAAGAAAGTACAAAGCATAAAGCAGGAGTTAGAGCATTTCTCACAACATACCCAGTGGACACAATTTCATTTTAGGGTGACCACAATAATAAAGGAAAGGGGAAATTACTAGGAAGACTTCCCACAACTAGAAAATGCCTAAGCTTGTACGGACAGAGGAAAATATGATGAGAGCTTCCTTCTCCCACTACTATAAGATTTCTTACCTTAGATATATATTTCATCCTTATCATAGCTTATTGCCTTGCAGCTGTGGCAGTGTGCTTTTATTTCAATTAGATTTGTTTCTCTAACATTTTCAATGTTGTCTGTTAGATCCATGACTTATGCTGCAAAGTTTGTATTCAGTGGTCGTTTTTATATGTTTGTTTTGATTTCTGTGCCGTACCCAGCTGTGCTTTGGGCTTACTCTGGATTCTGAGTTCAGGAGTTATTTCTGGTGGGTTTGAGATGATATGGAGTGCCAAGGATTAAACTCTCTTGGGCTGCATGAAAGGCAAGCACCTTACTCACTCTTCAGCTCCAGTCATTAGGCTTTTAAATCTTTTATATTGATCTCTGTAGAGAGCCAGATTGTGTTGTATATTTTTTGAGTGTGTGAAGCACAATTTTTTTATTTGAAGAAATTTAATTACAGAAATGTGAGGAGAGGGAGGGGTGTTTAAGAAGGAACACAGGTGTCTCTGGAGTGCAATAAAGCCTTGGCTATAGATTTACTATGATTCCAGGAGGAATCCTATTATATACTTTTATCTGAAAACAAAATATTTTAGTGAAATATGTACTTTTGAATACTATTTCTAATGTAGGAACACTTTCAATGTTCTTAGTCATTTTTACATTATAACTATATGATATATTCTGTATGATTATTATACCAGTGAATATTGAAGTTGAATTTTTATCTTCAAAAGTTAATATCATTGCATCTTGTAAGTATAAACTGTGTTTTAACTTCTGTTTCCTGGTTTTAAGTCATCTTATATGATCTCTCTAATTATGAACTTTGAAAACTATGTTTTGCTTGTTCTTATAAAATATTTTGTAGCATTAATATATTTGTTATATCATGTTTTAAATTTAGAAATTATATAAACGAGAAGTTCAACCTCCTTTCAAACCTGCTTCTGGAAAACCTGATGATACGTTTTGTTTTGATCCAGAATTTACTGCAAAAACACCTAAAGGTAATGCATGTTAATGTATGGTACCAGTTAATGTATGAAATTTTTTATTTTCATTTTATAAAAACCCACTGAGACTAGGGAGAAGGTTCAAAGGATTGGGACCCTTACTTTGCATACAGTTATCACCTTTTTCTTGTCTGGCACCTCTATACTTCTTTGAGCTCAACACCCCACTCTACCCTGCCTGTCTGGTGTGTTTCCCTCCCTCCCATATAAAAATACAAACTAGTTAAAGTAAAATAGGTATTTTATGTTTCTAGAAGGTTATTTTGTCATCTCTAGAGGTGTTGATCTTTATACAATTTTGCCTGGATATCTTTCAATTGTATACCTTTATACAATTTTGCCTGGATACCTTTCAGTGAGAATACTCAGAGTGATAGTACAATGAATAGGATCCTTTCTTTTCATACAGCTGAACTGAGTTCAATCCCCACCACCCATTATGGTCCCCCAGGAGTGATCCCTGATCACAGAACCAAGAGAAAGCCCTGAGCACCACCAGTGTGGCCCACAAACAAACAAAAATCCTGATTTAAGTGAGAAATATTTATCCCACTTAAGGGAAGCAAGGACTAGAACAAATAAGGAATTTTTCCTTGTTTTAAAATTCTATTGATATGCTGATGATGGAGAGTAAGAAGAGATAAGATAGATATACCACTTTATTATACATTAAAAATTAATGTTACTGGGTTTACTTTTAGCAACATCAGTTTCACACTGTTATGAAACAAAAATTGGGTTCTATGATGTACTAAGGTGTGAGGATGCTGTATTGAACAGAAAATACAAAATGGTTTATCAACAAGGAGTTTATATTGTGGGGATGCAGACAAAACATAATAAATAATTTAGTATTTATTAAAGGTAGCATTTTACTGTTTACTCTATGTTGTAATATATGCTGACATTTTATATTATATTTATCTGTGTTTCAAAATAAATATAACTACTTGGACATTAGATTCTCCCGGTTTGCCAGCCAGTGCTAATGCTCATCAGCTCTTCAAAGGATTCAGCTTTGTTGCAACTTCTATTGCTGAAGAAAATAAAATCACAGCTATGACAAGTGCAAATGTTTTGCCATTCTTTCAGGTAAATTGCATTTTATCAATTTTTTCAGTTTAGGGATGATTATTTCTTTCAGTTACTGAAATTGGATTTTATCATCTTATTTATTTTTATTATTTCCCCCCGCCATTCTCCTTCAAGTTGTTTGTTGATAGTTTCGTTGTGTTGACCAGAAGTTGCACACATGCCTGGCTGTGGTTCTTTGATTTTGTAAATTGTGATACTCACCTGGTATCACATTTCAGGTTGTGGTGCTTGCATATTTAGCCACAGTGTTCACTGTGGTTTCCACTCCTTTAGTCAAGATGTTTGAAAACATACAGGTGTTCTCACTATTTTCACACACAAGTTATGTTGATAGTGCTTGCCAGAGCTCACTCTAATAATAAAATACATATTTACCTGGAGTCACACTTCCTAGCTATAGTGTTCATATATCTATTTAGTTATTGATGTTTGCTGGAATTCATTCTCCTTTGTAATGCTAACCCATACTTGACTATGGTGTGTCCAGGAATTGATTGTGATGCAGAGAATTCCAAACAGCAAAGCCACTAGGTTCAAAGAACAGAGCTGTAAGTATCATGCTGAGCACATGTAGACAGGATGAATTTAAACTTGTGCCTATACATTTGCACAACTTGTTATTCTAAACCACTGCAGCATTCCTCCACAACCTGTACTCTCAGCTATGTTAGGGGTAAAAAAGATAGTACAACACTCAAGACACTTGTCTTCAAGTCTACTGACCCTTATTTGATTCCCAGCAATCCATGTGGTTCTTTGAGCATGTCAGGAGATATCCTTGAGCACAGAGCAAGAAATAAGCCCTGAGAACCCCTGGATGTGACTGACAAACCAAAAAGATAAAACAAAAATTATGTATAAACTTTTAATTTGTTCTCTATGTATAATAGTCAATGAAAAATGCCTTTATGTAATAGGGGGAAAAGCAGATAGGAACTTTAATTGCGTTTACATAGCATATTTTTGAAAGAAAATGTAAGGTTGGTATATAAGTAATTCGTTTTTTGTGTTGGCTTTAGGTATCTGGAAAACTTAGTTTCAAGGATCAAAATTTGCTGAACCCATTACTTAATATAAAAATATTCTTTTGAATGAATTATTCTTGTTTTTAAAGATTTAGGATGAATGTATTTTATTTTACTTTTTTACACAAAAACCAAGATTAATGGAAATGCTGCAAAATTTGGTGACGTATATGAATTGAAAGAAGATATTGGTGTTGGCTCTTATTCTGTGTGTAAACGGTGCATTCATACAGCTACGAACATGGAATTTGCAGTGAAGGTATTGTTTTTAAACCTAATCTTTTTTTTAATTTTTGCAGAGGGGAGGTGGTAAACCCACTAGTGCTTAGGGGCTACTCCTAGTTCTTTGCTCTTGGGCCTCTCCTGGTAATACTTGGGGGGCCATGTTTGGTGCCAGGGATCAAACCAGTGTCAGCATGTGCAAGACAACCAGGTGTCTTAATACCTGTGCTATTATTCTGATTCTTAACCTTTTTTGTTGTCACTGCTCTTTCTTATGCAAGTTGAATGATACCTTACATGACAGTTCTTTCAGTAGAGCAATTGGAGACAGCAAAGATTATCAGGAAGAAATACTGAGACTTAATGTTTTTTGTTGTTGTGTTTTTGTTGTTGTGTTTTGTTGTTTCTTTTTTTCTTTTTTCTTTTGGCCCTTATCTGGCTGTGCTCAGGGCTTACTCCTGGCTTTGTGCTCAGAGATCATTCCTGGTGGTACTTGGAAGATCACATGTGGTGCTGGGGATCCAATTGGAGGTGGCCATGTGCAAGGCAAGCGCCTAAACCCCTGTACTATGTCTCCAGACCCAAGACTCAATATTTTATGTTGAATTTCTTTACAAGAGTTTCTTTTGCAGCAGAAATATATTTCATGAATTCATGCTTTTGAGTAGTTTTACTTTAATAGAGTATATTAAGATTGACCAACTGACAATTAACATCACTTTAGGGTCATATTATCAGTTAAGTACAACTTCAGCTTAGTGGATAAAAACTAAACAGTGCTTCATTATTCATTGTTAAGTATAAGTTATAGGAAAATTTAAGTAGATAAAACAATGTAAAATAAATATAACTCAATTTTTAAGAATTTTGTTAAAATACAAGCAAATTTAAAATCTTTGACACATTTTTAGTAAGGACAATCTTGTTTCCTCTGAGATTCTTCTTTTCTTCTTAGATCATTGAAAAAAGTAAGAGAGACCCTTCAGAAGAAATTGAAATTTTGATGCGCTATGGACAACATCCCAACATTATTACTTTAAAAGATGTAGGTATTTAAAAATATGTGTAGCAGCTAAGTGAATGAGGCTATGACTCTGCAATTTATTTTTTATTAAAACTTATCATATGTGTCATACACTTTTAATACACTAAGTCACAAGACCCTTATGATATTATATTTCTCCCCTTCTTGCAGAACTTCAGAAAGGAACTATATTAAATGGCAAATGAGAATGTGTTCATTTTTCAAATATATTTAAACTAGTTAACTATTATTATTACCAATATCTTTATTCTGTCATATTACTATCTATAGCTATTAGAAGATTTAGGAGTCTGGTAATTTTCCAAATGCCTGTAGAATTATGATTCTTGAGGAAAATAAATTAACCTATGTAGGGACGGATACAGAATGATGTTTCTTATATGTGGGATACAAAGAAATAGTAAGGGAATAACCAATGCCCGAGGTAACAGAATCTGAGAAGTGATCTACAAAACTCAGCTTAACATGGTGAAGGTACACTGAGATAATGGTGGAAAAAAGCAGTCACTCTGCTGTTGTGTCGTATGCGTGAAACTCTATAATTAACATTATTGTAAATCACAGTGCCTAAAAATTTAAAATAATGAAAAAATTAATATATATAATTTATATTGACACATGTTATAGAATTATGAATTTTCATATAAGAAAACAACATTCTCTTTAGAGAAAATAAGCCTTCACCTTATTTTATTTCTTATGATACAATGTATGATTTATTATCTTTAACCAATAGTGTATATTTACATAAACATATAAATGATTTTGATAGAAATAACATGTAATGTTTGCCTTAATGTGTATTTGATGAAAAGAGGCTATCCAGTTGACCATATTCTCAAATAAAAAAATAGAATAATGTGAAAATGTTACAGTTTTTCTCTCTTGGTTTTACCTTTTCTTTTAGGGGGTAGGTTGTCTAATGCCCCACTTGGGCCTGTGGTTCACTAGAGTTCCCTGTGGTATGAGGGAAAAGCCAGGCTCCCCTGGATATATGCTTGGGGGCCTCCAGGACCAAATGAAAAAGTGCTTGGGGAATCTTAGGATTCCAGGGATGGAGCCTAAGTTAACCACATGCAAAGCATATATTATCTGTAATATCTGCAATAAATCTCTGTTCATATAAATTATTTTAATAAGTATGGCATTTTAATATTTTCAGAGTCAAGCTAGAATGCAGTTATATTTTCTTTCAATTTGTGAGTTTTTATGAGTTTTTTTACATGACATCTATGTATAGTATCTCTCTCTATATATATATATTGCGTACTCCAATTAAAAAGGGTATACTGCTTATTTATTCTTCTTGATATAATAATATAGTATTTGAAATCAACAAGCATTTAGGGTATCATGTCAAATAATGGGCTGAATAAGAAATACAATAAAAATAATGCAAAAGTGTGATTACTATTTTCATGCAAAATCTATTGGTTATAATACAATTTAAAGTGAGACATATAATTTGAAACAGATTTATGTTTATGTTTATTTATATCATTTGATGAAATGGGCTTGAGCGATAGCACAGCGGTAGGGCGTTTGCCTTACAAGCGGCCAACATGGCCGACCAAAGTTCGATTCCTTCACCCCTCTCGGAGAGCCTGGCAAGCTACCGAGAGTATTCGATATGCCAAACACAGTAACAACAAAGTCTCCAATGGAGACGTTACTGGGCCCGCTCGAGCAAATCGATGATCAACGGGAGGGCCTTATTTGATGAAATATAATATGCAACTTTGAAAATTAATATAATTTTATGTTGAATTTGGTCTCACAGAACTGTGCATTCCTTAGCCAGTTCTATCTACATTATACATTGGATTTTATTAATAGTAAAGCAATAATGTCTTTTTCAATGCTAGAGGTTCACAAAAAAGCCAAGTAAATATAATTTAAATGTTTTAAGACTGTAAGTATTAATATTTTTAAATATATTCTTTTTTAGGTCTATGATGATGGAAGATACGTTTTCCTTGTTACAGATTTGATGAAAGGAGGAGAACTACTTGACCGTATTCTCAAACAAAAATGTTTCTCAGAACAGGAAGCAGGTCATGTTCTGTTTGTAATAACTAAGACAGTTGACTACCTTCATTGTCAAGGAGTAAGTTATAGTTGTATTTTTATATATAACTTAAGTTAGAGTTATAGTTATATTTTACTCTTAAATTCTGGAAATATATAATATGTTGATAATATAATATATTATAAATATTATTTATATATTATATATAATATCATCTGAAATGAATTGATTTTTATTACATATTTAAAACTTTTTGAGACGCTAATTTACAGTGGGCTGGAGCAATAGCACAGCAGTAGGGCATTTGTCTTGTGCACAGCTGACCCAGCCGAGCCGGGTTCGATTCCTCCGCCCCTCTCAGAGAGCCCGGCAAGCTACCAAGAGTATCTCGCCTGCATGGCAAAGCCTGGCAAGCTACTCGTGACGTATTCAGTATGCCAAACACAGTAACAACAAGTCTCATGATGGAGACATTACTGGGCCCGCTTGAGCAAATCGATGAACAATGGGAAGAGAGTTGTAGTTAATTTACAGTAATGTTAACAATAAGATTTCACGCAGACAATATTCCAAACCCACATGCTCTACCATTGTGCCCTCATATACATACATACATGTATATTTATGTGCATATGTATTTTTTGTTGTTGGGTGCACACCCAGGGTGAATCTTGGCTGTATGCTTAGGAATCATTCCTGGTGGGGTTATGGGACCATATAGGATACCAGGGATCGAACATGGGTTGGCTGTGTGCAAGGCAAGCACCCTACTTGCTGTTCTGTCTTTCTGGCCCATATTTTATAGAGAATATCTTCTCAAAATTGGACAAGCATTATTTTTAAAGCTTTATTATTGAGAAAACATCTTTTTCTGGAAATATATTAGTTTAAAATATTTAACTTCACAAACACTTAAATATAAAAATCCTATTATTTCATTTTTTTATACTTAAGGTTGTTCATCGTGATCTTAAGCCTAGTAATATTTTATATATGGATGAATCAGCCAATGCAGATTCCATTAAGATCTGTGATTTTGGATTTGCAAAACAACTTCGAGGAGAAAATGGACTTCTTTTAACTCCATGTTATACTGCAAACTTTGTAGCACCAGAGGTATTCATTAAAACTTAATGTGATATAATGATTTTAAGGTAGGTAGGTAAAAGCATCACCTACTATGAAACTCTTAGTAACTAGAATCTTGAAGCCAAACTCAAAAGAAATAATCAGATTATTTGATTCTGATTAGTTATATATATTAGTTTTTTAGAAGAATACCCTTTTAGACTTGGTGGGTGAAGTAGAGGAAACCAAAACTCAACATACTGTATTATTTTATATGAAGAAAATAAATTTCAACTTGCTTAAATTACTTGTTCAAAACCAGTACTAACTTAGATACAGAACCAGAATATATTTCTATATATTTGGTGTTTTATTGCTTAGTGTTATACAGAACAATTAGGGCTTGTCCTGGAATATCAATCTACATCTCTCTTAAATTTTTAAAATTGTATCACTGTGAAATAGACCATTATAAGCTATACATGATTGGGTTTTAGTCATGCAATGTTTCAAGACTCATCCCTTTGTCACTGTACATTTCTCACCACCAATGTATTCAGTTTCCTTCCCAACACATTCCTAAACACACCTGCTGTCTGACACTATGGCAGGCACATTTTTCTTTCTCTCCTTTTGTACATGATGGTTTGCAATACAGGTGCTAAGAGGTTATGATGTTTTTCCGGGTGTTTAGTATTTTTATTGGGAGGTACAGCTGTAGTAGCTTTTTTAAAAAACTGGGTGACAGTTTTGGGATGTGGATGTGACTTCTGGGGCTTCTGGAAGTATAGAAAGGTGGGGGAAGGTAGCCCATTCTGACCCTGAGAAAGCCTTGAGAGTTCAGTCACAACATCCACAAACCTGAATTTTCAGCAGATTCATATCTCAGTGAGGTCTGTTTCAAGACAGTGGAGTCAGCTTGGGTCATGACAGCGATTTCGATTTTTGATTCTGATGAGTTATATGTATTAGTTCCTGATTGTGGAAGCACGTAACTATGGGGGCCTCTGGGTGGACACTGAGCTAACGTGTCCTCCTTCATTGTACCCTGGGTTATTCAGCCTTGTGCAGGTTCGAGATTAACTGAGGCGTTTGATCTTTTGAGATTTATTTATAGGTATCTGAAGCAAGGCTGTTAAAAGAGCTTATGTGATGCTGCTAGAATTGGTTCATAGGGGTGACTGCCTAGATTTCCAGAAGTCTAGGGAAGTAGTGGAGGTAGTCCATTCTGACTCCAAGAAAGTCTGGAGATTTCGGTCACAAAACCTATATACCCAAGTTTTCAGCTGGTTAATAATGCAGTGAGGTCCATCCCAAGGTGTTGGTGTGTAGCCAGGGGAGATATTGGATTCTGGGAGGAAGAAGTGTCCAGAGATTCTGTTTGAACAGGCATTGGGCTAACCTACCCCCTTCTAATATTTCCCGAGTTGTTCATCCTTGCAGTGGTCCCAGGATAACTGTGGCTTTTGATCTCTTTCGAGATGTATGAGTCTCTGAATCAAGGCCGATAAATGAGCTTGTATAGCTGAGCAAGAGGTGGTTTCTGGGCATGTCTCCTATGTCTCTTTTGGCAGTTTAGTTTATCAGAAAACTTGGTCCTGAGTTTTTGGAGTCTGGCCAGATGCATAGCAGCGATGTTGGGAGTATCAGGAAACCCAAGGGCATGATCGGATTGCCAGTGAACTTGCCCCACAGGTCCAGGTGCTGCACCCTCCAGGACCCAGTGGAAACAGCAGCAGTGACCCCAAGCAGAGACTGGGACCAGAAACAGGGCTGCTACCATTGGCAGCTTGGGTGTCCCAGGCAGGCTGGAACCACCAGTCCAGCAGAACCTGACCAGGGAGTGCATGTCTTAATCTTTTACAGTTGGCACTTAGGGAGATCCTCTTACATAATATGCTGCAAGCAGCATGGACTGGTAGGAGTAAGAAGGGGTAGTGGGACTTCCTGCCAGCAACTTGCCACTGGGGCCCCATGGTGGGAACCCGGAGTGGCCCCCGACTTCAGTACACACATTCCATGGTGCTGCTGAGTTGGACCTAAAGAGCTTTATTCAGTAACTTTAAAACTCTGCCACAGCCCATAGCACTGAGAGGCCCAGACCAGTGGTAGGTCCACCCTCTGGGTGCCACACTGCCATCCTCACAGGTTCCACTCACCGAAGGTGCTCCGCTCTTGGCAACCCACCGGTTTCTTTTAATAGCACTTTCCCTAAAACATAATATTCAAGGGTAGCCCACTTTCATGCATGCAGAAATTTTATGACTCCATAAGCTGTTCAGAGAGCTGATAGCTGTTGTCCCTCCACCAGCTCTGACACTTGCCACTGTACTGCCACCATCTTGACTGGAACGCCTCTCTAAGGTTGTATAAGGATAAAGAGTAGGGATGCAGCTCAGTAGCAAAGATATTTCCAGGAATGTTTGGATCCCTGGGACTGCAAAATAAAGTACTTTAAGCACATTTTCACCTTTCTTTTAAATACATGTTAGCATATTCCATCCTCCAAATACTAATATTTGTAACCACAATTAATTGGACAATCTCCCTTTTTCAGAGCACCTTCCTTCCTTCCATTTTGTTGAACTCAACTTTCTGGACAGCATAAATATTTTTCTATTACTTTGCTATACTTTTTTTTACTACATGTAACTGTACTTCTCTATATCCCTCATACAGGAGAGATTGTCTAACATTTCTTTTTCTGACTTATTTCACTTACACTAGGCCTCCAGTCCTATAATTTTTTAAAAATTACATTTTATCTTATAAGATAGAAGTATTCCATTGTGTATATCAGTGTATAGATCAGTAGATACACACCACATTTTCTTTATTTACTGCTTTTTTGTACTTGATCTGTTTTTTGTATCTTCACTATCGTCACTAAATATATGTCATAAAAATAGATGTGTATGTCTTTTTAAATTAGTGATTTTGTGTCATTTGAATTAATATTTAGTAATTTAAAGTTTTATACTGTAGAGGAATTTCAAATACTTGGAGAAATCTATGTAACTATTTCTAGAAAATTAGATCCTATTTACATATTCACTAACAGTATATGAGAGTACCTTTTTCTCCACAACTCATAATGCTGGTAATTTTGATTCCTGGTCACTTTGATATAGACCTATATTGTCATGATGTATAATCCTTTTAACATATTTGTGAATTTCATAAGATTTTGTGTTGTAGGTGCATCCATGTTCAAATGGGCTATAGCCTGTAGCTTTTGTTTCATGTGATGTCTTTGTCCACATTTATTATGGGCTTTGGGCCTCATGAAATGTTTTGTGGTTAATTCTCTTCAATGTTTTGTAAGAGTTTAAGAGGGAAAGGCAATAAATTGCCTTTTAAGATTTGGTAGAACTCACTCATTAAACCATCAAGTTTTGTGCTTTTGTTTCTGGAGTGACGGTTAACTATTATTTCAGTTTCATTGCCTGTGATTACTTTGTTTAGTTTTTTTTCTCCTTATACAGTCTTAAGTACTTGAAGGATTCCAAGAAATTGTCCATTTCTTTTATGTTCTCCAATGTAGTATTTATGAAGTTGTTTGTAGTACTATCATATCAATTTTGTATTTCTGTAATATCTATTGTAAAATTTTCCTTTTCATTTCTGATCCTAATTATTAGGGTGTTTTACCTTTCATTCAAGCTAAGGGATAGAAACTGTATTTCATCAGTTTAGTTTATCCTTTCTAGGAAAAGCTATTTTTTCATAAAGTCACTCTTGTTTTCTAAGTCTCTCTTGGGAATAGCCCTAAGTATATCAACCTGATTTTTTACTTTTATTTTTTATGGAGTGGAAGATTGTGGCCACAGTGGAAGTGCTGAGTATTTATTGCTAGCTTTCTGCTGAGGAATATGCAGTGTCAGGTATCAAAGCTCTGTCAGGTGCATGCAAGATAAATGCTTTATCCTCTGTACTATCATGACTTACCGAATTTTTCTTTTTTCACTTGCTACTTTTATCATTCTCACCTTATTTCTGATTTTTAACCATTATTATATTAATATGTTTCTCTTGGTTTTATTTTTTTATTAGTGAAACACCATGAGATACAGTTTGTTGACCTTATAAGTTTTTGTGCTTGGGGTTCATTTATACAATGATCGAGTACCCATCCCTCCACCAGTGCCCATTCTCCACCCCCAGTGATCCCAGTAACCCTCCCTCCCCTCCCATCCCCCCATCCCATCCAGCTTCTGTGGCAGGGCATTTCCTTTTGTTCTCTCCTTTTGGTTGCTGAGGTTTACAAAAGAGGCATTGAGTGGCAATCATGTTTGGTCTGTAGTCTACTTTCTGCATGTATCTCCCATCCTGGGACGATCCTCCCAACTTCATTTTTATTGGAGCTCAGGGCTTCCAGTATGAGAGTATGACACTTTTTCAGCATCGTTAACTTCTCTATTATTTCTTTAAATATTATTTTACACCCACAATTATGTCCCATTAATGGAACACCATGATAGTAAGAGTTATTCCTAATACTGATTCACGAAATCATTCTAGTAGCTTCATTGCTTTTATTTTTTGCTGATTATTTGTTGATTAGCTTTACATCTGTGCTTTAAAAACCAGTTGTATAATTCAGTTTTCAGTTTTTTTTGTTCTTCTATTGAGTCCTCCTGGTATGTATTTTTTTGTTTTGCCACTGTATATATTTTTTTCTTTTTTTATTAGTGAAACACCATGAGGTACAGTTATAGGCTTACGAATTTTGTGCTTGGGTTTCAGTTATACAATGATCAAGTGCCCATCCCTCCACCAGTGCCCGTCATCCATCCCCACGGGTCCCAGCATCCCCCCCACCCCCCTACCTCCCCCCCCGTCCCATCCTGCCTCTGTGGCAGGGTATTTCCCCTTGTTCTCTCTCTCTTCTTTTGGGTACTGTGTTTTGCAAGAGAGGCATTGAGTGGAAATCATGTTTGGTCTATAGACTACTTTTAGCATGCTTCTCCCACCCTGGGAGGGTCCTCACAACACCCTTCATTTAGTGCTCTCTTCTCTATCTGAGCTTCCTTTTCACCACTGTATAT